GATTGGGTTGGATGGACCCACTGGGAATCTGGGTTTTAGTGGGATGGACCCTTTAGGATTCTGGGTTTTATTGGGATGGATCCACTGGGATTCCAGGTTTGTGTGGGATGGACCCACTGGGATTCCAGGATGCAATTCATCCTTGCATGGAGGAAAAAGGAAAAGGAATCAACTGGATAGGTTTGTCCTCTTAAATGGGGCCCAGTGGGATTTCAGGATTGGGTGGGATGGACCCACTGGGATTCCAGGCTGGAATTGGTCCTTGTATGGCAGAAAAAGGGAAAGGAGTCAGCTGGACAGGATTGTCCTCTTAGATGGGAGGGACACAGTGGATTGAGTTGGATGGACCCAGTGGGATACCGGGCTGGAATTGGTCTTTGCATGAGGGAAAAAGGGAAAGGAATCGACAGGACAGGTTGCTGTGTCTTCCTGTATAGGATGGTCCCAGTGGGATTCCGGGTTTGATTGGAATGGACCCAGTGGGATTCCAGGCTGGAGTTGACCCTTACATTGACACCCCAAACCCTGCCTTTGCTTTGCTGCTTTACAAACTCCGAATTAACCCCAAATTCCCTTCCCCRAAATTCCCCAAATCTGGGAACCCCRTTCTYAGCCGTGYCCCCCTTACCCGGGTARTGGGGTGGGGGGCTGCAGGYGAACATCACCCCCCARCCCTCRGTGATCCTCACRGGGTCCCGCTCTTCCGCCGAGAATTCCTGTAAAACTGAAAAACCAGAGTGAAACCCGGACAGGGGAAAAAAAACCATCTGGAGTAACCTCTGCATTTTCCCTGCCCCCTCCACGGGCTGGTCTGTGCTGGGGGAGAYCCAAAAATATCACTGGCTTTCACCACAATACCCCAAATTCTCCAAATTTCTGTGGAAATCCCACGGGATTTCTCCATGGGTTTTGGGGAGATTCTCTCCAGCCTTTTTCCAGACGGGCTCAGTTTAAGCCCAGCCTAACTCAGGCCGTGTTGGATTTACCGAGGGGTGCCAAACTTACAGCCGAAACGGAGCGAGGCTTCCCTGCTGACSACGGTGCCGCGGGAATTGGACGCCACGCACTGGAAGGAGCCGGAATCCTTGGCTTTCACGGGGTTGCTGATCACCAGGTCCCCGGCCACCAGCCGGTAACGGGAATCGGGCTCCAGCTTCAGCTCCGTGCCGTTCATCTTCCACCTGTGGGGAGGGGGGATGGGGATGAACCCCTGTGGACACACCTGTGGGGTTCTGTTGGGTGGTTTTTTGGCTGGGATGGGGGTTGGAGGGGGATTGGGATCTGAGCTGGGCCCTGGGAGGGGTGGAACATCTCGGAATTGTGGGATGGTTGAGGTTGGAA